TCAAAATCGTAAGAGAATGCCTGGGCATCAAATCTGTTGCTCTACCAGAAGAACTAAATATAATCTTGTATCATCACAGAATCTGAGCTTTCCATGTTGATAAAGTGTTTAACAGAAAACACAATAAATAATAAAAATGTTAACAATAAATACCAAATATACTTAACTAAGAATATATATTTAAAAGGGATGCCAAAGTTATTCCTATACTAATATTTTTTACAAAACCTGAGATCAAAGTCTACACAATTAAATGTATCCATTCTACAAATGCCCCCATGACAGAAGACTATCAACATAACAACTCAGTAACAGAGCACACATTTGCTGTTTGGCATATTCTCAAGTTCTTTCTCAAGGAGTCACTCACTCCTTCCCTTCCTTCCTTCCATCCTTTTTTCCTTTTTTCTTCCTCCTTCCTACTTCCCCTCCCTTCTCAAGCACTTCTACTGGCCATCCTAAGTATGGGTGAGACTAGGTAATGACAGCAGAACTCGAAAATAGCACGGCTATTCAGTCTTCCTCCACTGTGCATGTCTGCATGTCTGCTGACACCTCAAAGTCACCTGCTTATACCCTGGGTGTCTCCAGGTAGACACTGGTTCTTGTAGGAAGTCCTGACCAAGGTGAAGTCTGAGTTCTTGGGACTCCCCACCTCATATACCCCAGGCCATCATTTAGGCAAGGCCCTGTCCAGCGGTCTCCTTCACTCAACTCTAAGCTCTGCCCTGACAACTATTGTACAAGCAACATGCACGAGATGCTTGTTCTGAGTGTAACAAAGGCATGAATTAATGAGCGAATAGACAAGGTTACACACGTCTCACACTGCAGGTCCTCAGACTATGGGTATGATTATTCTAGTAATCTGATAAAACTGCCAATAAGGTTCTAGCTACTGCTTCTTATAATCCATTCCTAACTGATGACATAGTATTCTAAAAATAAAGAATGCATTTTACTACTGAAACTTAAATGCTCAGGGGTTGGAGAGGTGGCTCAACAGTTATGGGCACATACCTCTGTTCAGAGGACCTGAGTTCAATTCCCAGCACCCACAGCATGAGGCTCACAACGCCAACCCAAGGGAGTCCCAGGCCTCTGATTTCTGAGGGCATCTGTACACATGTGTACAACATAATTAAATTGAAATACTTTTATTTTTTCTAAAGATTTATTCATTATGTATACAACATTCTGCCTCCATGTATGCCCGCATGCTAGAAGAGGGCACCAGATCTCATTACAGATGGTTGTGAGCCACCATGTGGTTGCTGGGAATTGAACTCAGGACCTCTGGAAGAGCAGCCAGTGCTTTTAACCACTGAGCCATCTCTCCAGCCCCTTGAAATACTTTTAAAATTTAAATGCCTATAAGGAATATACATAATCCAATCCGACCCTTTCACTGCCCTCAAACTCACCACTTAGCTGAGGCTAGCCTTAAACTCCTGGTCCTCCTGCCTCCACCTCCCATGAACAGGGATCACACCTAGCTTTAGCGTTAGAACTGTAAGCAATCAGTCCAATGAGCCTTAAAACACAGCAGTGAAATCTCTTCAGGGCAAAGCTGAACTGAAACCCAAGCAGCACCTGAGAATTTTTTCAAGCCTGAGTAAAAGTGGAAAATAAAATTTGGTGATGATCTCTTTACTAAAAGCTAATTTCACAACATGAAAGATGAAGTCCATACTAAGTCACCCGAGAAACAGCCTTGATAACTCATCAAAGCGAGACCGTGGCTAAGACAGCTAAGACAAAAAGGTACTGTGTGAAATGTCCATCCTAAACTTCCTGTTGTCTCAACTACTCCTAAAAATAAGAACTAAGGCAAAGTGTAAACAAACATATTAGCACATAATATACACACAAGGAAGGGCTAAAGTAAGACTGGCCAATTACAAGTGCTGACAATGGTAAACTACCACATCGTGGGTAGGCATGCAGAAGGTATGGCCGTTTTGGAAAACAGTTTGATAGTTTGATAAAAGTGCATTGATATTTAGATAGGACCTTAGAGTCCCACCTCTGCATACTCAGTCAAGACAAGCAGACCTGCTTGCCGAAGTTCAAAATATCTCCATTCATAATTAACCAAAACGGAGAACTCAAATGTCCATTAATCATGAATGGACAAAATGGGGACCATGCTCTTAAGTCATGGTACCCAGCAGAAAAGGAAACTCAGCATATGCTGGAGCTGGTTGGTACCAGCCGAACAGCACCCTTGGTTGAACTGTTACGACTTTGCCACAGTGGTTTATGAGGCTTAGAATAGGCTATGGCAATTATTACACTACAGTAACCACCAAATGTCCCAAGTCAGGGTTGGCTTGTCTTTTGTCTTGTTTTGTTTTGTTTGGGAGAGTAGGCTGTTAGCATTGGCCAGCCATGACTGTCCCACTGCTGGGTGACACAGGCATTATGCTGAATGCATAAAGACACAAAAGGCAGCATTCTGTAGGCATCTGGATGGGGTTCCACAGAAGACACTGATGGCTGCCAGGGTTGAGGGCTAACAGCAGAGAGGCACGAAAGGGGTGGTGGAAGGTTCAGCTTGTCTATAACAGAGACAAGCTGGACATACAAGTAAAACCTCACTGCTGGAAGACGATACCTAAGTAAACCCAACCAGAAAAAAAAACTAGCCATGTCATTAATTTGTGAATTATATTATGGATAAGAAATGCATAAGACATACAGAAGGGGGCTGGGATCAGTGCACACACCAGATTAACACATCTATACATGACATAAATGGAAAAGAACATGAAAACACAGGGGGAAGGTGAATGGGTGATCATGGACAACACTCAAACCAGAGGGTACCTGATCCTGGGAAAGATGCTACAGGAATGGCCTCTGGGTATGACCCCAGAGCAGGGCACACATGGGGTCACCCAAGCGGGGTCCCTACCACTGAGCCCTTTCTACTGCAAGCCTACAGCCTGTGGCTCCAGTCTGCCATGTTATGATCATCTTCAGATGTTTCCACTTCTAACTGATGTCCTAAAACATCAGTTACTCATCTTAACATCTATCAACTGGGGCTGGGCAGTGGTGACACACACCTTTAATCCCAGCTCTTGGGAGTCAGAGGCAGGTGGATCTCTGTGAGTTCAAGGCCAGCCTGGTCAACAGAGAGAGTTCCAGCAAAGCTAGGACTGTTACACAGAGAAACTCTGTCTCGAAAAATCAAAACAAAAAGCAACCATCTATCAACTGTCCTCACTAGCTCTAAATTTAGACCATTTGGGTACTAGACCTTCAAAATTGCCTAAATGCCCATCTGAACAATGGGATCAACGTTTTCCTAACCTTTGCATGAGGACACATGAAAATCTACATGCTCTACTGCTATCCGCTCAATCACAGACATTAGACACAATCAGGTGGGAAGGCAGGCACATACATTCATTTTTATTTTTCTGAGGTAGCGTCACATGTGAAACTACTAAGCTTAGCTGTTTCTCTTGCCTCAGCCTCCCAAGCACTGGGAGAACAGGTGGGGGCCACAAACCCAGGCAGACATTCCTTAACTAGTATGTCCAGTTGTTCAGAATTGTTGTGGTCCCATATAAAATGGGGGGGGGGCACTAGCAAATCCTGCATTCTGAGGATAATTTGTGGAAATTCCAAGACCCCACTGAATGAACCACTTTAGTGGTACTGAGAATGCCGGATGTAAACAGGCTCAGAGAATATGACAGACACTGGAATACCGCACTACTGTTTAACCTGCTTTCTTATTTTTCCAGTAACTTCAGAACCTCGTGCTTTCTAACTCATACCACATTCGTGCAGAAATTTTGTTAGGAGCATATTTTTACAGGAATGGATTTCAACTAAGGAAAAGAAACTATTTCAAAACCTGTATTTCTAGTTGCTTGAGGCAGAGCTGTGTTCTAAGTATTATCATACACAATACTGATTTCAAACACCATGAGTTCCCAAACCTAATGGAAAACGGATTTTTTTTTAACATAAAAGCATATCAAGCTAAATCTTTACATTGCAGGGTCCCATGAGCTTTTATTTTTCTTTTTAAAGACAGATTTATTTTTACTAAACCTATACACTAACACTACATCCAGTTTCTCTGTATATCAGCATTTCCTGGGTTGTTTTGTTTTTTACTTCTTAAACGTCTTGATCGTGAAAACTGATTGATCTAAATCTGCCTGACTGATACCAGCCTGGAAATATGCTGTCTCGATGCACAAGGTTTTGTTTTTCTGTTTTGTTGGTTTTTCAGACAACATAATAACCACTTGGTATTGACCGACCATGCCTATTAGTGAACGAAAATAGTTTTTCATATGCATAAGCACCATTTTCCCACAGAAAACACTTAGCCACCGTTGAGGTACTGAAAAATCCATGCTTATGGTAAACATGCTAGATCTGATTTTATCCCATTACGTCTACGGAGGAAGATCTCAGAATCGGTCTCTAGGACTCAAATCGTCAAAAATCAATGGGAACGCAGCACCTCCGATGCAACCGATCGGAAAGGTCACCGCTGCCTTTTAAACCCCGCCATCACCGTGGATGTTGGTGATGCCACCACATCCCCGATGCAGGACAGAAGCATCCTAGGTCCTTTCCACGGGGAAGGGTTTCCAGCTCAGGGCGCAGAGGGATGAGCCAGGAGAGGCCCGCGGCCCTGGAGACGGCACCCGAGGGATGGAGGCCGCGCTCCGTGGGGCCCTGGCGGAGGAGGGGGGTGGGGGGAATCTAGGAATGGTCACCCGGAGGGTCCGCCCGGGGGGACCCCCGTTCCCGGGACGCCGCCAGGTTACGCCCCCGCCTGCCCCTTGTCCGCCGGCCGGGGACCCGACGCCGACGGCGCCCTCTCCAGGCCCGGCGGAAGACGCGGGTGGGGGAGCGGCTGGGCCGCGGCCTGTGCCCGGCGGCGGGCGCGGGGCCGCGCGGACAGCGCCTCCACCCCGCAGGAACAAAGCGCCCCGCGGGCGGGCGAGCGGGCGAGCAGCACTCACCGCGGACCGGCGAGCCTGGATGCGGGGCCCGGGAACCCTCCCAGGCCGGGCCGGGGCCGAGCGCCCGCTGCAGTCCGCGAGCTGCGGGGCCGGGGCCGCCGGGCGACAGCCGCGCTAGGCGGCCGGGGCAGCGACGCCGCCTCCGCCGCCGCTCCCTTCTCCGGCCCGGGTCCCTGCTCCGCCGCGTCTTCTCCCTCGCCGGGTCCCCGCCGCCGCCGCCGCCGCCGCCGCCTCAGCCTCGGCGCTGCACCGGCTGCTGTTCTCCATCAAGGCCGGGCCGGGCCGCGGGCAACATCCCGGAAAGTGAGGGCTGGTGGCCGTCTCCCGCAGCTGCTGGTGGCCATCTTTAATCCTCCTCCTCCCGCTCTCTCCACCTCCCGCGCCGGCTGGCTGACGGACGGCTCGGGATCCTCCTCCCGCTCCTCCCGCTCCTCCCACCAGGCCGGCCGCAGAAATTGCAGCCGCCCGGGGACGCCGGCCCCTCCCGCCTTTCCTTCCTCTTTCCTACTTCCTTCCCTACCTGCCGCCGCTCCCGCTTTCCCGCATCCCCGGGGTGCGAGCGCGCACACGGGGTCCGCGCCCATCGTCCTGGCTTCGGGGCTCCCCGGGTCCATCCCCTCCCCAACCCCGGGCGGTGCTCACCCGCCCTCTCCGCGGGTGTCTCGGGAGACTCTGCCGAGAAAGGACCGCTGCGCACCCCCGAACCCCTACACCCCTGGCTGGATGCTGTCACCAGCATTGACAACACGCAAGCCTGCGTTCGTTTTACTCCAGCTGGAGTATAAAAGAACTGCCCACGCTAGCTCTTCCACCACGCGGCCTCGAACCCCCCACCTTCTCCCAGGGATCAGGAGTTCTGTGCCCAGTCTCTAGGGTTGTCCTGGGTCAGTGACCTTGAGACCATCAGCAGAGGTTTTAGGTTTGCCCTTTCTTTCTGGAAAGATGCATTATATATTTATACTTCCATAGTTCTATAGATCTGACCAATACAATGTCTGGACCTAGTAATAGGTATTGTTAAACCTAAAACAGCTAAGCGGATATCAGCTTGTCTCTGTTCCTAGTCAACCCAGCAGACCATTCGGGTCATGCTTCTGTTCTGGCAGCGGGGACAAACTGAGTCAGCATGAATGCTTGAACTCCTCGGAACAGCTCAGAGTGGGGAAGTGGCGCTTTACAGAAACTGGAAACATGAGCTTGTTTTTCCAACGCTGCAATCTACAGCAGTTTCAGGATTTCCTCTAAGAAAAACGAAGCAATTTGGACTTGCTGTTTCCCTTTTTTTAAAAGCCAGTTTGTGTTTGGAAGTGGATTCCGTTGTAATGATTTACTCACTAAACCCAAGATTCAGCACTACTGGCAAACCCAGAACTCATCTGTGGGGGTCACAGTTCCTGCTGCCTCTTGTAGGTGCCTGCTGGCAGCGGAATATACCTTATCCAGGTGTGGAGAGCCAGGCCTAAAAGGCCTGTGCTAGGGCTGCAGGGTGAGAAGGGGTGGGGATAGAGGATGAAGGAGGCAGGAAAGGGGGGGACAGGGGTGGTGGTGCAGGCAACAGAATAAAAATTTAGGTGTTACTAAGTTCTGAGAAGAATATGCCAGAACAAACTTTTTTTTTTTAACCACCCACTTTAATAACAAGATTGGTGGTTTCTAAAGGGCTTGGCCATCTCTAGAACCCAAATAGTCTTTGCTGTAGCACTCTATAACACAGTTTTAAATGAATCATTAAAAGTCAAGTCGCTGTGTGGGGGAGGGGTATGCCTGCTTATATTTCCTTGTTGCTGCTCTCTTTCCCTTGTGACCCTTTGGTGTTTATTCTTTAGATTTAGTTTCTCCAATCTAGCATTAGACAAAAGTACCACAAAATCCTCAGATCTTAAGACCGGGAGTGCGTTGAAAAGAAGAGCTGTGAGATGGTGTGGCCACTTGGGAGGAGAAAATTCAGTTGAGCCAACACGGAGCCCACTATGCATTTTTAAAAGGAAGATTTTCAGCTTAAATAAGAGGTTTGCGAATTCTTGGTGTACATTGGAAGGGGAAAAAATGCATGAAAGTTAAGTCATTAGTCCACTAATTACATATGTTTTCTGTTGGAAAAGCTAAGATTGCGATAAAGTTGCTGTCTTCCAGTCAGGCTCACAAAGGTTTTATTCTAGTGCACAGGCATCCTTGTAGCCACCTCCCCTTGTTCTGCTGAAGCCATCCAAACACAAGAATTGTAAGAATGGCCAGGAAAGAGCCGTGGCAGTGGCTTTTCCTCAGCTCGGCTTCAGATCTGTCAACATCACAGCCCTTACCTTCCTTGGTCTTTGTTGTCAGCCAAATGTAGTTTCTGTCATCTTGGGTTTAAGTATTTAAAAAAAAAAAAAAAAAAAAACTGGTCAGAGCAGGTTCTCCAGCACCGTGACTATTGTGTCCTAGGTATTCCCTCAGATGAACTCCTCATAAAACAAAGCCTTGTGTTAAAGTGGCATAAGCCCTTTGTGCGGAGGCCAGATGGAAGGAGTTCTAGGCATGTGCGGCAAACTCCTTAGGGGATAGGGAAGCTGAAGGGCTATTTCTAAACAGTTCTGCATCGGGAGTCTGCTTCCTAACTCCAGGTCACGGAGGAGGTGGCCGTAGACAGGAGCAATTGAGAGGCTTTGCCTGACAGCAGGCAAAAGCCACACATCCGTGGTGACCGGAAACTCCATGAACACAAATACGCAAAGCACAAGAGAAAGAAGATGGAGAAAAATAATCATAAAAAATACATGAGGGGGAGGGAAATGGGAGGCTGGGAGGAGGAGGAAATTTGTTTTTTTTTTTTTCTCTTTTCTCAATAAAAAAAAAGTTAAAAAAAATACATGAGGGGGGAAGAACGTTTTAAAAGAGAATTCTGAAAACTGTTAAGATAAACATTAAGCTGAAAAATTGTGATTTTTACAATAGCTTCTTTTATATTTATAAGATGGAAGAATTAGTTTAAATTTTAGCTGATGGGATTATATATATACATATATGTATACATTATATATATAGTATATATATCAAGTAAATGCTCTAATTTTAAGATGTTACTGGAACACGGAGTGCTACAGATGTTAGAAGACAAAAATTACACAGGCTTTAACCTTTGACATTCACATTTTACTTATATGCTAAATTATGTAACTATTATATTTAAAATGTATTTCCATTTTCCCAGGTTATTAGCTATAACAATGGAATTACCATTGTTTCCCCTTGTTTAGAGGAACCAGATGGAAGAGAAACTGGGCAAGCAAAGGGGTGTCTCCAGGGATCGTATGAACGGAATGTTGGGGAAAAAAAAACACCCCAGACAAGAAGACAGAGTTAAGTAAATGTTCAGTTTTATTCTCATAATCTCTGCTCTTCGTAGAGACAATTATTTCTGTTCCTTGTTTTCCTCTGATGGACTGTCTAAAATATCGAGTGAATAATGACAAGCCATATTTATCTGCACTGATCAAAACTGAGTATCATTCTTCCCTCCTCAATTTAGAGGGCTCCTTATAATTAACTGATGAGCTGTCCCTGAGACAGTGCCATTTAGAGTCATTACTGACTCTAATTGGGGAGAAATGCTTTTGGAAAGTTCCAATTAGAGGCATTTTCTGTTGTTCTTGTACATACATTCAAAGGAGGTACTGGAGTGTTCCTTTTGTTTGGGGGACTTGTAGGTTGCTATATTGTTTCTGTTTGCACTTAAGTAAATAGCAAAAATCTAGCTTCTATAAGCTTTGGAGTAACAAGACCTCAGGAGGGAATGGAAACGGAACAGCCACGTTTTTGCTCTTGTGTATCATAACGGTCATGATGGTAACAGAAATGGGATATCCTGGAGACTGCCTTGAAGGGGATCTCATTCCTGCATACAGCTCAAGTATCTCAATATTTTCTCCTTGTTTGTGCTTTTGAGATTAAGGGCTCAGACTTGCTGCGCAGAGCTCAAGGCCGTCTGTATGTTGATTTCCCATTTATTCATATGTCTTGAAGGCGTTATGAAGAGCAGAGAACTTTAAAACCACTGTCGTTGTGATGTGTTCACAGGTGCAAGTTAGCTGTATGTGTGCCGGATTTACTTCACACATCAAACAGTTACAGGGGAAAAATTATTAAAGGCTGTCAATACACAATGTACCTTGGGAATGAGACAGCAGTCAGAGACTTCCCAGTTGAAGGTTTTCATCTTTCTGATGGGAAAGGAAAACCAATCAAATCTTTAACTCTGCCCTCTGCAATTAAATACATGGAACTGTATTTTTGAAATTTCTGGGAATCATTGACTTTTTCAGAAAAAAAAATGTTAAGAAATAAAATTAAAGAAAATAATTGTGGTGGTAAGAACTGGAGGCCAACCTGAGCCTCACACTGTAAATTTGTCAAAAAGAGAGAGAGAGAGAGAAAAAAAAAGCTGGGTGGTGGTGGCACACACCTTTATTCCCAGCACTCAGGAGGCAGAGGCAGGAGGATCTCTGTGAATTCAAGGCCACCCTGGTCTACAAGAGCTGGATAGCTGGAGCTGTTACCCAGAGAAATCACAAGACAAAACAAACAAACAAAGAAACAAAAGCAGGGTTTCCTGTTTACAAAACTAGTAGCAATTGTTTGCACCAAACAAGTAAAAGGCAAATTGAGCAGGAGTTTAAGGGAGTTTGGGATTAAAGAATGTAAGGGGAACTCTCAAAAGCCCTTGTTTTTTCATGGAGGATCCAAAACAAAAGCTGTGATTACAAATACTTAAAGAAGATAAAACACTGCCATCTGCTGGCTAGAAGGAAAAAGTCAGCCAGACATCTCTAAACAAGAAAAAAATCTAGGAATTTATTATCTTTTGGGTTTTCTTTTCTTTTCTTTTCCTTTCCTTTTTTTTTTTTTTGAAACAAGGTCTCCATAGGTAGCCCTAGTTGACTTGAAACTTTCCCAGTCCACCTGCCCAGCCTGCAAAGAGCTGACCTTACAGGTGTGCACCTGTTTCAAGCAAGCCTCCCTGTGCTAGCGAACACTCCCAAGTGTGCCATATTCCCCACCTGCTC